TAAGATTTCAAATAGACTACAACATACGAATGTATATAGACATGTTTAAAAAAAAAGGTTTTCGCCCCACTTTATAAATAAAGAAAACCGCCATAAAGCACACATATAAGGACTAGTTCAAACACACACCTAAGTCTCACAAACAAGTACGAAGGTTCTACTGAGGACACAGCTCAACAAACCCAAGAAAAAAACATATAGACATGTTTTAAAGTGTAGATTTACTCATTTTGTTTTGTATATAGTCCCTTGTTGAAATCTCTAAGAAGACATATATTTGAGAACAGAGGGAGTATAAAGAAAATATTTGTAGCCGAAGGAAGGGTGCGGCACCCTCTCTCTCTCGCCTGTCTTGCCCAAGAACGGACCAGAGACAGGGGGGGTTGCAATGCCCGGTCGGATCGGGAAACGCCGGCTGTCGCACGCGTTCCGCGCACCGAGGACCACATGGCCACATATGCCCCCTGCCATCTTTGAAGCACCAAAACGAGGCACAGAATCAAAATACGACCCGAGCGGCACCAGACTTCGGACGAAGCGCTACAGCAGCAAAGGAAGGATATCTCGGGCATTCATTTCGACCTTATCTGTCGATCGCCGTGACGACGCGTCACGCCTTGCACGAGTCGGCCGCCGCAGGTAGCCCACGGGAAACGCGAGAGCGGTCCGGCCCCGGCGCGCGTAATAAAAGGCCGACCGACCGGTGGTCTCGGACGCCCCTCGCTTTCAGACCCAGCCGTCGCCGTCTCCCAATTCCTCCGCAGGGCCCCCCTCCACTCCTCTGACCCTCTCCCCGTCTTCAGCCGCGTCCCGGCTGTCGGCGACCCGCCGACGTTCCCGTCGTCGCCGTCGCCATGGTTAGTCATCCCGCCTCCGCCTCCCCCTTCCCCGTCTCCCCGTCCGTAGCGTTGCCTGTTCTGCTCGGTTCTGTCGAGAGGAATCTGTCTGCGAGTGTCGGCGTTTAGTCGGGGAGCTGTTGTGGCAGATCCGGCGTGCCGTTCGACCGTGGCCCTTTTCAGGAGGCTAGCCCCGCGTGTTTTGTTGTCCGATTGGATGAATCGACGGTTTATCTTTGGCTTTTTCTTGGACAGGACCTTGACTGGGGTATTGTATTGTATATGTAGATTCTCTTCTGTGTGGAAGAAAAGAACATTCGCTTTAGGAGGATCTAACTTTTTCAAAGGATGCACGCTTTTCGTAGGATGCACTTTCTAGCGAGTTCTTTGTATTAACTCTTGTCTATGCTTTAGATCTCGTCAATATCACGCGAAGAAATCTTAGCACTGTATTTGTGGAGGTGTTCGTGGATACAAGTTATATTTTCAATTAAAAAAAGATATGCAAGTTTTGCTTGAAGATCTGCGTCTGTATATGCAGTTTGTGCTATGCATACGTTTGCGTGGCTTCCTGCAATTTAGATTGTTGGTTTCTGTTATGTGTGGTAACATGTCTTTTATTGCACCCTAGCAAAGTTTCAAGTTTATACTTTAGTATATACTCCTAAGTAGTGTGCCAGGGGTTGAATGGTTCCAGATTATTAATGATCTATGCCTATTTTGGACGAGTTTTTGCAATATCATTACTCGGCGGGGACGGACGGTTCACCTCCTTGGTCGCTCCTGATGTGAGCCTTTAGATCTGTTACTAACGGCTGAGATGATGATCTTTTCTACTGCCAAAGTTAGAATATAATTACCCGCAACTGCCACTACTAATATACAGTAGTAACTGATGAGGGTACTGCATAGGCTAATTTTAGCATCACGGTTTCGTTGCATGTTGGGGCTAATGTGTTGATCCGTAAGAAAAATAACTTATTATTGGGTAATCTAATTTGATGTTCCTATCAATGCATGGGTATTTAGCTCGCATTTGGAAAATGACAAACTGCAAGTGGGTTCACTTGCACTTTTTTGTTGAAAGGTGACATTTGTCTATTTCAGAATCTAAAGAAACCTAGAAGTTTGATCGCATTTCTGTGGGTTAGCCATCTTATTTGGTCAATGATATCAAGCAATTTTATTATGTACTCCTTTCCTCACTTGCTTCTCTTGATTTTGGCGCTTGCCACCACAGAATATTTTTGGCTCATCGAGAGAGTATTAGGACTCTTATATTTTGAATTAAGATCTAACAATTAGTGATTTCTCTTAATAATTAGAGTTTACTAAATTGAGAGCTAGATGTTTTTTTTCTATGTGATTCTGGCCTATTTCTATATTTTCCCCACGAGCCTTGTCATTGCTTTTGTTTTGTCATTGCTTTTGTTAACTGTATAATAATAGATCTAGCAAAAGGAACAAATGTCATAGTTCATTGAGTAAACCTTAACTTTACAATTTTACTATATTTATGAGTCAATTCTAGAAGTCTACCTTGCTCGTCCATACCTGTTACGTTCTTCCTAACGGACAAATCAAACTCCATCCCCTTGGCAAATTTGGATAAATCATCTACCCAAATGAGAAGCAAAGAATGGGTAACACCCAAACCATCGAAAATAGGACGCAAATGGACTTCAGTTAGCTCGTGATGGCATCATTGATTAGTCTTTGCTGTATGGCTAAAAGGTGCAGTCTGTACTGTTTAGCATTACTGGCATCGAGTATGGAATTAGTGTGTTGTTCTTGAAACTATTTAACATCATTATGAATGTTATTTCGTTGACTCAATATCCAAAATAAACAATGCTTATGTGCTACCTTTTTACTGTTTTTTTTTGTGCAGACTACCTCAAGACGTGTTGCTGATAGGAAAATTGCAGTATTTGAGAAGAATATCACGAAGAGGGGTTCTGTTCCCGAGACAGTCAAGAAAGCAAATGATTATCCTGTTGGACCTATCGTGCTTGGATTTTTTGTCTTTGTTGTTGTTGGGTCATGTAAGTTTCTGCATTTATGTTGTTATGTTTGAGTTGTTGATCGTACACTCCAGTTGTTTGGTATGTCAGCTTACCAACCATAACATCTCTGAACAATTTTCTTCAAATAACTGGACCAAATTAAAGACAATCCTGATAAGTTCTTACTCGTAGGAAAATAGTCCCTCTGTCCCATAATAGTTGTCGCTCAAACGGATGTATCTAGTACTGAAATATGTTAGATACATTCATTTCAGCGAAACTAATATGGGACGGAGGGAGTAACATGCAATTTTTTTTATCAAGTGCACAGAGCTCTTGTGTTTTATGGAAATTTGATTGTGCTAAACTGCTATGTTAAGTAGAGGCAGAACTGGTAGCGTTGTGGTAAACTGCTTCTCTGTAGAGAACAGAACTTGCAATCTTAAAGCAGCATGGCAGTAGTGACAATCTACACCATTGCTTTGTATTTAAAAATGTTGAAACTGTAACCCTGTTCTGATCGATTCACGTATGGTCCCATGGTTTGCTACTGGTGGGTTATTGAAAGCTAATATTACCATCCATGGGGCATTAGCTACTATCTAATCTGATGCAAAGCAATAATTTATTTTTGTAAATATCATAGAACTTCTGAATCACATTAAAGAGTTCTGAAATGATCAAGCAAAGGAAACTATTGACAGTTATTTCACTCTGGAAGTGAGAAACCCTGCTGCTATTTGGCTCTTCGTCAATAACATCAACAGTTACTTCAAATTCCTTGGGCATAGATTTATGAACTGATTGTCTTGTCGACTCTTTTCTCCATGCAGCTCTGTTCCAGATCATCAGGACAGCCTCAAACGCCGGTCTCTTCTGAGTAGATTGGTGCTATGCTTATAGTGACCATGAACAGGGCTGTCATATGCAGTTGGTTGTCGGTTTAAAATTAGAACTGAATGAGATAGCTGGTACTCTTGTGATGCTTGTTATACCTCTTACCATTGTACTTGGTGGAGTTTAAGTTATATGGAGGTCATGCCATTGGACTGCTAATCTGTGTTTCTCAGGGCCTCAGGCCATTGGAATTATTCCATTTTATATCCGGTTATAATTTGCTTTGCATATTTGATTTAATTGCGTTCGGTTGGTCCTAGTCGTCTTTGCGACAATCTACTGACTCAAAATTTACAATGGGCCATAGGGCGCTGTCCTTTGGCACTCGTTCCCATTTGGCGCAAAATCATCCAAGTGGAGGATTGCAGATTAATACTGAGATCAAGAACGTCGCGCATGTGGGGATCTGGTCAACTTCAGAAGATCAATCCCCAAAGCAGCGACCCAGGTTATTTTTAGGTGATGCATCTTTTTAAATCTTCCTTGCTTATGCGGAGTACAATTGTTTACGGCATACAGTACAATACTATCTCTGACCCGGTCTGGTTTTACTGGTCACTGGACCTTCTCAGCCTACACTTGCTCCTGGTAATTAGGGTTGTTAAGGTAGTTGTTACTACCCTTACTCCAGGGAGTAATAATCAACCACTTGGGAGAGTGGGAGGGGGTTTCTTGGGCGTGTGATACTTGGTTTCCGGAGGAGTTTGTTAAAAGAAGTTTCGGTATGAGTTTGTTGCATGGCGGTTTAGATTAGTGCAACTGCGTCAGTCATGGAGGGGAGATGAGAAAGGTCGGAACTCCACCTTCCCAGACAGATCCTTGCCTTCGAGCTCGTGTCTTTGGCGCAAGGACGCCAGGAATCCACCGTGCGTCCGTGCGTGATGCCTAAAGGAGGATTCGTGTGGAGGGGTTCATTCTGCGGGAATGAAGAGGATTGCAGTCGAGGGATTCTTCTCTCGCCGCTGAAATGCTGATCGGTTTATCTTACTCAGGTTCGTAGGCAAATGCCAACCTGCAGGTCCGGCATTTGCCTCTCTTTCTTGCTTTCTTTCTTTGGATCCAATTCGTTGTGAAGAGGTGATTCCTTTTTTGAAATAGTATAGGTGAAGGTGGCATGCACGGCGCGGCACGCCGGAATGAGTTGTTCAATTAACAATTTCCACGCGGCTCACACTTCTTGACCTCATCTTGTTACGTGATCACCACCAATGTGCAGAGTGCCTGACGGAAAGATCGCCGGAGTTGGCCTGGTTCCCCGAAGATGGCGAAGCACGGAAGGCGCCCTGTAAACAAGTATGCATTTGCCACCGCCGTGCTCTCGACTGCGACGCCCATCTTCTTGGGCTACGGTGAGAATGAACTCACACGCATGCAAGTGTATATGGCTCCGTGTTGTCCATTGCCACACTGCTCAATTTGCAAGCACGTGTCGACGCAGACCTGGCCATGGTGAGCAGCACGGCCGTGCTCGCGGACGCCGACCTGAGGCTCCTGGCGTGCGTCGTGGTGCTCTCCTCCCTCGTGGGCGCGCTTACCGCCATGGTGGCGCAGTGCCTCATCGGTGACCGCCGCACTGTCCTCCTGTCGGCCGTGGTGCTCTGCGTCGGCGCGCTCACCAGGGGGCTCGCCGCTGGCCCCGCGGCGTTCACGGTCGGTGTCTTCATCAACGGCATCGGCATGGGCCAGGCGCTCATGATCGTCCCGGCGTACGTCGCCGAGCTCTGCCCCTCCTCGCTGCGCGGCGCCCTCACCTCCCACCCGGACGGCTTCGTGTACCTCGGCTGCATCCTCGGTTCCCTCTGCTACTCCACGGGCTTCGTGAAGCTCCCGGCGCACCTCGCCTGGTGGCTGACCATGGTCTCCGGAACGGCCGTTCCGGCCTCGCTCAGCTTCGCCGCCCTTCTCATGCCGGAGTCGCCCCGGTGGCTCGTGGCCAGGGACCAGATGACCAAGGCCCGGCGCGTGCTCTCCAGGACGTCCGCGACGCAGGAGGAGGCAGAGCTCCGTTGGCTTGAGATAAAAGCCGAGCACGGCACAGCACCGCGCGATGGCATCGAAGAGACGGTGGCGACGTCGGTGAGACGTAACCGGTGGAAGAAGGAGTGCGCGATATGGCGGGAGCTGCTGGCGAGGCCGACGGAGCCTCTCCCCCGCGCGGTCGTCAGCGCGCTGGTCGCCAAGGTCTTCGCGTCCGGCATGGGGCGCATGTCCCAGTACGTGCAGCGCGGCTTCCTCGACGTCGGCGTCTCGTCGGCCCGGCAGATGCCGAGGGCGCTGCTGGCGTTCGGGATCGCCGTGGTGATGTCCTTCTCCGTGTCGCTGGTCCTGGTGGAGCTCGGCTTGCTGCTGGCGACGGCACTCGCAGGTAGCCGCGCGCCGTCCCACCTCCTGCCTCACCGCTGCGGCGGCCACGTCGGCATGACCCGGCGGCAGGAGCAGCTGAAGCGGTCGAGGGGGCTGTCCGCGACCATGCTGCTGTCGCTGATAGCGCTGGTGTGGATCGCGCCCGGGCCGGCGCAGTGGGCGGACGCGTCGTCGCCGTCATCGTCCGGCAGCAGCCGGTGGCTGTGGGCGGCGGCGGCCATGGTGAACAGGGCGTCGGTCTTGTGGAGCTTCGCGAGGGCGTACGGTGCCAGCTCCCTCCCCGTGCACGGGAGCTTGCTCGTTTGCCCCGCGGTCGGCGTGCTCGTGTGGTTCTTCTTTTGTGCGTGCCTTCTTGGCGCGAGGAGGAGGCGAGCCAGCTTCATTCACGTACGGTCTTTCCCAATAAGCACGTCCGCTGCTAGTCTAGCGAGCCTGGTCCACGGCTGAACGGGTGACGGCACCGGAGGCAAGTAGGATGGGTTGCCGCCGGTCGTTGGCGGCACCATGCTAGCGATTCCATTCTTGCATTTCTCCTGTGCTAACGAGGACTGGAGTCTGGAGGGAGAGCATGCAGTCGGTGTCTCGTGGATGTCGCGGGGGGATGGAAAATGTTGGGAGCAAAGTTCCGATCGGTCGTTATCGCGTAAGCATGATAACGACGATGGCAATCTTCGTTGTCGGTGGGCATTAAGAAACGGGAAATTCTACTGCGTCTAGATGTGCCTTGATTTTACACTGAGATTTGTGTGGGTATTTTTTTTCCTTTTTTTTTGTTATATATTTGATTGGGTCAATTAGTCATACAACAACTAAGGCACATCTAGATGCGCCATAAAACAGACCCGTTTACGGTTTTGACGAAACTAAGTAATAGTAGTAGTATCGATCAAGAGGTAGGCGTTCACGTGTTTTTCTTTTGAGTCAACATGCTATGGATGTAAATATTTTGAGTCAACTACGAGGAAATTGTCTGCACGTTGCTATGGATGTAAATATCCGCACCAATTCTGATTAATGAACTAGGACGCTCGTAGCCAGCGAACGTTCGCCCGGGAGGGTGACACGCGCGAACGTTTTTTGTGTCATTTTTAGTTGCAAGAGGGTGGCAGTCTTTTGGGAGCGACATGACAATTTCTTCAGAAAATGCAATTTTTTGGTTTAAAACTGTGGTCGTTTGATTTTTCTTCACAACTAAAACTGCCATTAAATGGCGTTCGCTTGCCACCCTCTCTTAGTGAACGGCAGATATCGGCCGATATTACAATAAACCGGCTGATTTATCGCTTACAGGTGTGTGAACAATAAGATAAATCTGCTGATTTACCCCTTATCTCAGGTCGACCAATAAATTTTTGATAAGTGATATCTCCAACATTCATATTAGATATTGGTATTTATTTAAAATTGATTTATCAGAGATTGATTTGCGACCTTGATCAGGAAGGTGGTCCCTTAACAGTAATTGCAGAGTTATCGTGCATTAGGCTGAACCTCTTACCCCTTGTTACTCCGTCACCACGACTACGAAGAAGACGAGAGGTGACCACCAAAATGAGTCGATCTGGGCGACCTTGTGCTTATTGTGACAGATCTCGTCAGATTCATCCCTGCTGCTCCATTCCCACCATGGAGAAAGAAAAGAGAAGCTTCCGACGACCACCACATGCTGCACAAAAGCAGCGGCAGGCTACAAATATTCGGCATCATGCCAAACAGCCCAAAGGCAATCCTAGATCAATTCCTACACCTAAATCTACTATGAACAAGTGGGGCCTGACCTCCTCTCCCACCCCTCCTTCGACCGGTGAGGCCGCCTGAGGAGTAGGGGAGGGGATCTGAGGCAGTTGTGGAGACTCTCGAGAAAAGAGGGGGTGAGGGAGAGAAAGGGAGGGTGGAAATGAGAGCCTCTAGTGAGAACCCCCTCAAAAAATTTACTTGAAATTTTTTATGTGTCTATGACATGTGGACCCTACCTATCAATACATGAAAAGGGTGGCCTTCAGGTCTCGAACACGTGGATCCCGCTTGTTAGTAAGTTGTTTATTTATGGTGAATATAGTGTATGTTGTCCAATTGAAAGCCAACATGATCTGAGGACCTACGCATGAACATATATTGTTTAGCCAATTTATAACCTTCAGGTGACAGGTGTTGTTATCTATGAGAAGCGAAGACGAGGATAATGGGGATCCACGACACTCAGTGTGTTGTTTTGGTCTTATGACCTTAATTGCGGAAACGACAATGTTATGGCAATGTTGAAGCAGGACGATATGGAAGAACAATTCAGGGATGGAGGAGTTTGACCATTCAAGGGTGAACCGCCTACAAACAAAAAATCTACATGCTAGAATCATAATACAAAGGAACCGGTATTATTGTCGCACTGGCACACCTGATCTGAAGTTTCTCTGCACCTAACCTCTCTATTGTAGACAACAACCATTTTCTTTCAGCTGCTTTAGTTTATGTTATTTACTTTCAAGTTATTTATTATTCTTGCAGCAATCATCAACTCTTTCACCACTGGTATATTTGTTTCACGGGACAATAAAAATATCTACGGATTTTTGGACAGTCACTTCACACAAGACGACAACTTGTGTGCGACCGAAATGTGAAGGAAATATGCCCTAGAGGCAATAATAAAGTTATTATTTATTTCCTTATATCATGATAAATGTTTATTATTCATGCTAGAATTGTATTAACCGGAAACTTAGTACATGTGTGAATACATAAACAAACAGAGTGTCACTAGTATGCCTCTACTTGACTAGCTCATTGAATCAAAGATGGTTAAGTTTCCTAGCCATAGACATGAGTTGTCATTTGATTAACAGGATCACATCATTAGAGAATGATGTGATTGACTTGACCCATTCCTCCAGCTTAGCATGATGATCGTTTAGTTTGTTGCTACTGTTTTCTTCATGACTTATACATGTTCCTCTGACTATGAGATCATGCAACTCCCGAATACCGGAGGAACACTTTGTGTGCTACCAAACATCACAACGTAACTGGGTGATTATAAAGGTGCTCTACAGGTGTCTCTGATGGTACTTGTTGAGTTGGCATAGATCGAGATTAGGATTTGTCACTCCGATTGTCGGAGAGGTATCTCTGGGCCCTCTCGGTAATGCACATCACTATAAACCTTGCAAGCAATGTGACTAATGAGTTAGTTGCGGGATGATGCATTATGGAACGAGTAAAGAGACTTGCCGGTAACAAGATTAAACTAGGTATTGAGATACCGACGATCGAATCTCGGGCAAGTAACATACCGATGACAAAGGGAACGACATATGTTGTTATGCGGTTTGATCGATAAAGATCTTCGTAGAATATGTGGGAGCCAATATGAGCATCCAGGTTCCTCTATTGGTTATTGACCGGAAATGAGTCTCGGTCATGTCTACATAGTTCTCGAACCCGTAGGGTCCGCACGCTTAACGTTCGGTGACGATCGGTATTATGAGTTTATGTGTTTTGATGTACCGAAGGTTGTTCGGAGTCCAGGGTGAGATCAGGGACATGACGAGGAGTCTCGAAATGTTAGAGACGTAAAGATCGATATATTGGAAGGCTATATTCAGACATCGGAAAGGTTCTGAGTGGTTTGGATATTTATCGGAGTACCGGAGAGTTACGGGAATTCGCCGGGGAGTATATGTGCCTTATTGGACTTTAGGGGAGATAAAGAGGGGCTTCCTGGGGCAGGCCACGCGCCCCCCAAGGCCTAGTCCGAATTGGACTAGGGGAAGGGGCGGCGCCCCCTCCTTCCTTCTCTCCTACTCCTACTCCTTGGAAGGGGGGAATCCTACTCCCGGTGGGAGTAGGACTCCCCAGGGTGCGCCATAGTAGAGGGCCAGCCTCCTCCTCCCTCCAGCCTTTATATACGTGGCCAGGGGTTACCCCATAGACACACAAGTTGATCATTGATCTTTTAGCCATGTGCGGTGCCCCCCTCCACCATAATCCACCTCGGTTATATCGTAGCGGTGCTTAGGCGAAGCCCTGTTCCGATAGCATCATCATCACAGCACGCCGTCGTGCTGACGAAACTCTCCCTCGAAGCTCTACTGGATCGTGTGTTCGCGGGACATCACCGAGCTGAAGGTGTGTAGATCGCGGAGATGCTGTACCTTCGGTGCTAGATCGGTCGATCGTGAAGACGTACGACTACATCAATCGGGTTGTCATAACGCTTCCACTTACGGTCTATGAGGGTACGTAGACGATACTCTCCGCTCTCGTTGATATGCATCACCATGATCTTGCGTGTGCGTAGGATTTTTTTGAAATTACTGCGTTCCCCAACAGTGGCATCCGAGCCAGGTTTATGCGTAGATGTTATATGCATGAGTATAACACAAAGGATTTGTGGGCGTGGGTATATACATATTGCTTGCGCCACTAGTTGATTCTTGATTCAGCGGCATTGTTGGATGAAGCGGCCCAGACCGACATTACGCGTACGATTACGCGAGACTGGTTCTACCGACGTGCTTCGCACACAGGTGGCTAGTGGGTGTCTGTTTCTCCAACTTTAGTTGAATCAGATTCAGTGAATAGGGTTCTTTCCGAAGATCTAAAAGCAATCACTATACCGCGTTGTGGTTTTTGATGCGTAGGTAAGAACGGTTCTTGCTCAGCCCATAACAGCCACATAAAACTTGCAACGACAAAGTAAAGGAAGTCTAACTTGTTTTGCAGGGCATGTTGTGATGTGATATGGTCAAGAAATGATACTAAATTTTATTGTATGAGATGATCATGTTTTGTAACACAGTTATCGGCAACTGGCATGAGCCATATGATTGTCGCTTTATTGTATGAAATGCAATCGCCATATAATTGCTTTACTTTATCACTAAGCGGTAGCGATAGTCGTAGAAGAATAATTGGCGCGACGACAACAATGTTTCGATGGAGATCAAGGTGTCAAGTGATACGTCTCCGTCGTATCTACTTTTCCAAACACTTTTGCCCTTGTTTTGGACTCTAACTTCTATGATTTGAATGGAACTAACCCGGACTGACGCTGTTTTCAGCAGAATTACCATGATGTTGTTTTATGTGCAGAAAACAAATATTCTCGGAATGACCTGAAACTCCACGGGAGGTCTTAGAAAAAATAATAAAAAATCCTCGCCAAATATGAAGACCAGGGGGCCCACACCCTTCTCACGACGGTGGGGGGCGCCCCCCCTAGGGCGCGCCCCCTACCTCGTGGGCCCCCTGTTGACCCTCCGACGCCAACCAACTCTATATATTTGCTTTTGGAGAGAAAAAATCAGAGAGAAGAAATCACCGCGTTTTACGATACGGAGCCGCCACCAAGGCCTAAAACCTCTCGGGAGGGCTAATCTGGACTCCGTTCCGGGCTCCGGAGAGGGGGATTCGTCGCCGTCGTCATCATCAACCATCCTCCATCACCA